TTGAGACCACATCCCTCCTCCCTCCTCCAACGCCCTTGGTCCTCGGCACTGCCTCCTCCCATTCCCACTCTCCTCACCTTGGTACGGCCTCGTCCCAGGATCTCCTTGGCGATCTAGAAGATCGTTAAACTCCTCCTCCCCCTCCCCCTCCTCCCCCTCCCCCTTTTCTCTCCTCCTCCTCCCTCCTCCTCCTCCCCCTTTCTCTCCTCCTCCTCACCTGCTTGTACAGCGCCACGTTGGAGGCTCCTAGGGGAGTACCGTGCTGCTGGAGCACCCGCACTGCCTGCATGGACTCGCCCGCACGGAAGGAGGAGGCGGCATGGAGGACGACGTACTGGTCGACCGCTTCCTGGCCCATCTTCTTGGCGACCTGCAACGATCATGAGGGGAAGGATGCAGGGAAGGGAGGAAGACCGGAGAGAGGACGATAGGAGGGAGAGAGAGGAATGGGGGAGATGCGAGAGGGGGAGAGGAGGAGAGGGAGGAGAGGAAGAGGAAGAGGAAGAGGAAGGACGAGGACGAGGACGAGGACGAGGACGAGGACGAGGACGAGGACGAGGACGGGTTTGCTTCACCTGCAGGCAACGTTCCCAGTCTCCCCTCTTAGCGAGCTCTTGGATGCTTTCCCCGCTCGAGCTCGTCCTCCCCACCCCAGCAACAGGCACCGACCCCCTTGCAGCGTTGGTGCTCCCCTGCCCTCCAGCTCCTCCTCCAGCTCCTCCTCTAGCGTCTGACGACCTCTTCATCATGTCCTCCACATAGCTCTCGAGCTGAGCAGAGGTCTGCAGGTGGAGTTCAGCTGGACAGCGACGGCGCCCTCTCCCTCTCCTCTCCCTCACCTTCCCGAGCGCCCGCGCCTTGTCCCACATCCCCGCACGGAGGTAGACGTCGATCGCCTCCTTGTGCGAGTCGATGCCCTGCAAGGATAGTGAGGTGGAGGGGGAAGGGGGGAGAGGAAAAGTGCAAGGAGTATGGAGGAGAGGGGGGGAAGAGAGTGAGGAGGGGAGGAGGAGAGGAGGGGAGGAGGGGGGGAGAGCAGGAGGAGGGGAGCGGAGCCAGGAACAAGGTGTAAGAGGATCAAGTGTTCACCTCAAGAAATTCAGCAGCCTGACAAAAGAAAATCAGTGAAATGAAAGAGGAGGAAACAGAGGAGCAAGAACGGAGGTCAGGAGGGGAAAAAAAGTGAAAACGTGCGAATTGTAAGGAAGAGAAAGAGGATAACGCAGGAAAATGATGAGGAGGAGGGGAAGGAGTCGGACCTGCTCGAATCTCCCGATGTCTACCAGACGACGACTGACTTCGCTCACGACTTCGGTTATTCTTCCGTGAACCTGGAGGGACGATGAGGAGAGATTCCATGAGGATATCAGAGGAGAGGAGAGGAGAGGAGAGGAGAGGAGAGGAGAGGAGAGGAGAGGAGAGGAGAGGAGAGGAGAGGAGAGGAGAGGAGAAGAGAGGAGAGGAGAGGAGAGGAGAGGAGAGGAGAGGAGAGGAGAGGAGAGGAGAGGAGAGGAGAGGAGAGGAGAAGGAAAGACAGTCATGGCCAACTGAGCATTCCTACATGATTCATTGCCAGCTCAACCGCTTTCTCCCAAATCTCTTCGAGGTATTCGAGATCTTGAGTGTGCGAGCTTGTGATCTGATTGCACGTCAGCTTCTTCCCTCCCTCCTTCTCCTCCTCCCCCCCTCTCCTCCTCCCTTTTCTCCCCCTCTCCCTCCCGACCTTGAGGTACGCGTCGATCGCCTTGCTGTAGTCGCCGCTCTCCTCCCACATCTTCCCTGGCGCCATCAGATCTTGCTGCGCGTCAGGCGCTGACATGCCCCTGCGCAACTTCATCAACGAGGAGGAAAAGGAGGAGGAGCAAAAGAAGCAGCAGCAGGGGGGAACGGGTATAGGAGGAGGAGGAGGAGGAGAAGAGGGAAAGGGGGACGATGGAGGAGGAGGAGGAGGAGGAGGAGGAGTAAGGAAGGAGGAGGAGGAAGGAGGAAGAGGACCTAGCTTTCTCCTGCTGGAGTTCATAGACCATGCCTGACCCGATGCCTGGGGAGTTCTCGTGCGACTTGGCGATGCGAATGGCATCGTCCCACTTCCTTGCATCCTTGTACATCTTGACTGCAAGCTCAGCCTTGCCGACCTGCGGGAGGAGGGGGAGGAGGGGGGAGGAGAGTGAGCGATCGCTGAAGTAGGAGAGGAGCACCAGACCTCGACGAAGATGTTCTCGGCCTACACAGACAGTCATTCGATGCAAAGAAACGATGAGGAAGGGATGGTGAGAGATACAAGAAGCAGGTTAGAAGGAGGAAGAGGAAGAGGAAGAGGCAGGAGGAGGAGGAGGAGGAGGAGGAGGATGATGCGTGTACGGTCCCACCTGCTTGAAGTCCTTCTTGTCCATATGCGAACGAGCCTTTGCTATCATCACCTGCACGTCCAGTCAATCCAGCCAATCATATCACCCCTCTCTCCTCCTCCTCCTCCCCACTTACGTCGCTGCGCGAATTCGGGTCGTGATTCTCTGCAATGCGCAGTGCGTTGGGCCAGTCTTGCTGATGGATGTACCTGGAGGTAGAGGAGGAGCAGGCGACATGAGCTATGAGCAGAGAAGGAGGAGGAAGTAAGGAGGGAGAGAAGAGAGCAGGACGGGGAGAGGGAGGCAGGACGGGGCGGGGAAGGAGAGAAGGAGAGATTTCTTACATCTCGATCGCCTCCTTAGGCTTCTTGGCATTGATGAACTCCTCCTCCGCCTCTCGGAACCTCCCCTCGTCCTCCAAGAACATAGCATGCTTCAAGTGGACCTGAACGAACAACACTAGGTCACAGGCAACAGAGGAGGAGGAGGAGGAGGAGCTTGAAAGGAGGCAGAGGGAGGAGAAAGGAGGAGGGGAGGAGGAGGAGCTTACATCAGGCAGCTTCCCTTTCATCGAGCTTCTCGCCAGCTGGAACGCCTGATCGAATGCCCCGCTCTCTGTCGCGTAGTCGATCGCCTGCTCGATGAGTCCGAACTTGGTGAGCAGCTTCGCTCCTGCTTCTCCTCCCAGGCTGACGGCCCACGCGTACGCCACCTACAGCAGGCAACAATCATGCTCAGCCTGTCCGCATCCTCCTCCCCTCCCCCTCCCCCTCTCTACCATCTTCCTTCCAACATCCTCGCCCTGCCCCTGATCCTTCTTTCCCGTGCCCGTGCCCCTTCCTCCTCCTCCTCTTTCCGTTCACTCGCTCCCTCGTCATCACCTGCCGGGACGTGTTGACGCCTCCGTGCGTCTTCGCCACTCTGATCGCATCGTCCCACATGTCGTGGGCGCGATACCTGCCGGCCGTCAGCTCCTCCTCCTCCTCCTCCCGCTCCTCTCGTACATGTTCACTGCGCTCTTCCAGTCGTTGCCGTCCACGTAGTGACGCTCAGCCTCCTGCCCCGCAAGTATCAACCGCGTGAAGTCACCGCATGCAACGGCGCGTGCTGACCTTGAACTTGTTTTCAGCTTCGAGCTGCTGGGCGAGGTGCAGGTAGGTCTCCGAGAGAAGATCCTTGCGATGCTGCGGGCAGGTCAGTTGGTAAGGAAGTGACGGGGGAAGTTGGCGGGGGCAGGAGGGAGGAGTGGGAGAGGGAGGGGACAAGGATCCGGGCTACATACCTGGGCGACTAGCCGGATCATCTGATCGTAGTGTCGGTTCTTCTTGTACATGTTGATCGCAAGGTCGGGCTCCTTGACCATGATGTAAAGCTTCTCAGCTTCTTTCAGCTTCCCTTGTGCCTCCAGCCTGCCCCGACCAGCTCTCACCTCCCAGCCCAGCGCCTCCGTCAAGAAAGAGGAATACCTCTGTGCCTGGTTCACGTAGAGGGTGTTGACGGCAGACTCGCTCATGAAGGAGACAGCCACCTTCAACCCACGTCAGCAGCAGCAGCAGCAGCAGCAGCAGCAGCCGGTGGGCTGTAGCCGTTGAGGAGGACGAGTCTACCTTGTGGACCTTCTCCCACTTCTTGATGCGGGTGTACATCTCCACAGCATCCTGCGGGCATCGAGCCTTGATGTAGTACCTCTCCGCATCATCGTAGTTCTTCGTCTCCTCAAAGTGCTGGGCGATGATCTTGTAGAATCGGCTGGCAACCTGCCGACCCGTCACTTCCATGGCCCTTCCCTGCGTCCCATCGCTCACGTCGTCGTCCTGGGTATCCACGATCTGCACCGCCTTGGACCATTGCCGCGCTTGAATGGCGGCCTCTATCGCCTTGATGTTCTGACCTGCCTCGATGAAGTGATTGATGGCTGCGTCCAGCTGCTTCTGCGAGACGAGCCAGTTGCCCCACTCCAGCTCCAGCTGCACCACCTGCAAACAGCCCCGTCATCATCGTCCTCATGCCCTCCTGATCATCATCATCAACAACAACCCCCCCTCCTCGTGATCACCCTCGTTCCTCTCCCCCTCCCCAACCTCCCAATTTCCCTCCTCCGTGATGTAGCACCTCTCGCGGAAAGTTTCTCCTCGCAAGCTCGACTGCCTTTCTGTACGCGTTGCCCTTGCGGTAGGATTCCAACGCTCGTTCAATCATGTTCAGCTTCTCAAAGAAGTTTCCAGCCTGCTCGTCGATCAAATCGTGCACAGAATCTCCTCCCCCTCCCACTCCCCCTCCTGCTTCCTCCTCTTCTTCTCCCTCCCCCTCTTACCTTCTCGTGTAGCCCGGACTTGCTAAGTGCAGCAGCGATCGTCTCGAGCATCTCCGGCGTCTGAGGATACTGTTGGTTCTGCACGAGGGCGGCAGCGCGGGCAGGCAGGCCTCCTTGCAGGTAGAGCTGGATGGCCGTCTCAATGTCTCCCTCCTTCTCCTTGAGCTTGGCAGCCCTCTCCTCCTGCCCTGTCACCAGCAGCCACTGCAGGTAGGACGTCTTGAGCTCCTCCGTCTCAGGCTTCCCCTTGCTCTCGGAGATCGCGATGGCCTCGTCCCACCGGTGCAGCTCCTGGTACATCTGCATCGCCTCCTCCACCTGCCCTTGCTCCAGCAGGATCTGCTCAGCCCGCTCAAAGTGCTTCTCCAGCTTCGCCATTTCTGATTGCACCTTGAAGTGCTGGGCCCCGTCGGGCAGCCCGGACCTCTCTGCTTCCTCCGCGATCTCGTTCACCTTGCGCAGGTACATGGCCTTGGCCGTGTCCCCGAGGGCCGCACAGCACCGCTCAGCTATGAAGAGACGGTTGTCCTGCAGTGCCAGCTGACACAGGGTGGACCACATGGCCTCCGTCTCCGGGCTGAACTCCAGCTGCTCGAGCAGCGTGACAGCCTTCTCATACTCCTTGTTCTCGATCGAGCTCCCGAACTCAATCAGCGTCTCGTCCAGACGGTAGGAGACGGTGTTAATCCCTTCGTCGACGATCACCTCGGTCCTGCCTCCAGCCCTCTCGATGTCCTCCACGTCTCCCTTGATCTGGAAGATGGTGACTCGCTCGGGGGCATCGATGGAGTACCAGACACACAGGTTGTCGCGGTTCTGGGCGACCACAACATCACTGTTGGGCACCCACTGCACGTAGCTGCAGTAGTTGAGGAGGGTTGACCTGGTCTGAGAAAGGAGGTCGAACAGGTGTAGTTGGCGATGTTTGTCCCGGTAGAGCAACTTCGTTGCCGACGGGTTCAGCTCCAGCCAGTCGACCTTAGCATCATGATTGACAGTAGCTACAGTGTGACTGGTTGTCAGATCAAGCACGCGAATGGTCTGGAAATCCATCAAGTATGCGATCTTCTTGTTCTCCTGCTCTCCGCTCTGCTCTCCTAGAGACTTCGATTCGTTCAACCGGCACGAGATGTAGTGAGGAGACACATGCTCTGTCCTTGCTGAGCCCAAGATTTCATTCCGACCGTACTCCACCAGCGTCAGCTCGCCTGCATTGTAGACCATGCAGACAGAAGGGTTTTCGAAGATGAACCTCTCTGAACCTGAACCACTCCATGGTACCTCAGATAGCTTGCATGACTCAAGGTTGCCGATGAGGAGAGTTTCGGGAGTGTGGGCAACGAGGTATTGATCTTGGTATATGTTGATCTTGACGATCTCATATTGGAAATGAGACTTGAGAACTATCCTGGTTCCCGACGACAAACGTTTCACAATCACCTGAGAGAGAGAGACATATGTGAACTCAAACTTCCCCTTGTAACGATAACGACGGAGACAGGCATCGTAGCAGTCGATAGCACCAGCAAGAGTCCCAACACACAGCCTCGATCCGTCCTGCTTCCATGACATTGCAGTGACAGAGTACATGTTCTCAATCTGCTTTATCCCTGCTTCTTCCCACAGGTTCCTCCGAATGTTGAGATTGAAAACGTGCAGTCTGTTGAATGCACCAACAACTGCACTCTCACCTGACGGGTTGAAACAGCAGGCGGTGAACTCCTTGAGATTCGCAATATCAGACGAGTAGTCGAACAACTGATAGACCCCGCCTTCGATGTCATAGAACACAATCTTGCCATCGTTGCCACCAGCTATGATGTTCTCACCCCAGGCAAGAGCTTGCGGTACACAGGTGTGCATCGCCAGCCTCACATGAGCTGGCCCTCCACTCTCATCGAACGAGAAGCGATAGATCGAGCCGTCGACATGGCCAGAAAGGATTGAGTGCCCGTCTGGGCTCGAGCACAAGGACGTCACGTACGAGTCTGTGCTGTACAACTTCTGCGCCTTGTTGGATCGGATAATCCCAACCTTGACTGTCCCGTCAGTCAGCCCGAACACCAGCTCGTTGGGCTGCTCCATCGGCCAAGTGAGACAAGTCACGCCCGCATTCGATTGAAGGAATTTGTTGCAGATCGACTTCTTCTCTCCCCATTCCAACCCCAGTTTGTAGATGAACACAATGTTGTCGCTCTGCGCAACAGCAAGACGAGTTGAATCCGGGGAGAAGGCCATGCCCGTGACCATGTAGTTCTTCGGGCCATTCGCATCAGCAGGCTTGGTGCTGAACTTGTCTTTCTTCTCGCCAACCTCATCAAACAGGTGCACAACACGATCAGAAGTCGAGGCTGCAAGCCTCCTGTTGTTCGGTGACCAGCATAGCGCTGTGATCCGCGCTATCTCCTCACCTGGCGCCTGCAGCGTCCGTAGATGCCGCAGCTGCATATTTCGAAGCCGTCGGTTGCTACCACCCCTTCGTTGCAATGAGTGTACCCCACATAAGACCACCCCTCACCCTCATTTCCCTATTGTTTTGTATCACATGTACCCGTACTTTGACACCCCCACCCATGAAAAGATAACTTCTGCAGTCGTGTACCCCTGTCAATCCTTCATCAATTGCACCGGTACTGCAAGAATGACTACCCTACCCTCTGTGTAGAAATGGACATCAGAGTGTCTGAAAGGGACGGGTACTTTGCAATCCCTACCCACTCGATCCATGGTTTTGACCTTGGGGTGGTGTAACCCCACCCTTGGAATTCTATCTTTCAGGAGACAAATGACAAGGTGGGTGGTTGTTCATGGTTGTGAATTTCCGGTAGAGGCAAATCTGCTCGTTGTTGTGGAGGGTCTTTGCCCGAAAAGAGGTACAAATATTTGAAAATTCAAAAAATATCAAATGTACATGTGACCCCTTCCGAAATTACATGTATAAATCTCACCGGTACTTGATCCTTTGAAAAATCATGGTGGGGTATATGATGTACCTACCATATTACGAAAGGTGAAATTCATCTGTCAAAGGGGGGTAGGGGTGAAAATGAGCGAACGAAAAGGAAAGAGGTAAAAACAAGAAAAAAAATTGGATTGAGTTTGTTTTGAGAGGCCGCTCAGGATAGTTAAATGCGGGTAGGGGTGGTAAAAAGAGTAGATTTGGAGGGTGGGGTACAGGAAACTACAGAAAAGGTCTGTTTTAACTAGGGGTTCTTTAAGGCTAAAATCAGGGGTGATGAAAACGATTCAGTCGCGATGGGGTTATAGTGTGGAGTGGGGGTGGGGTGGCTACAGCGGCTACTAAAATGGCCGAAGGCAAACAAGAGAAATTTGTGTTGGTTGGAGACGAGGAGGAGGAGGAGGAGGAGGAGGAGAGGTATGTGGATGCAGAGAGCAGATATGAACGTCCTCTTTCTGCTCCAGAGTTTCCTATGTCTGATGATGGAAATAAGCTGTTTGAATCTTGCGCAAATGAAGTTCAAGGAAACGAAACTGGAGAGAACAAGAACGATGTCGATGATTTACAAAAACCTGCAAGATGCGTCGATTGTCAAGAATTCTATGCCTCTGTGGACAACCGATGCAGCCTCTGCGCGAAGAAACATTGCGATTCGGCCCCTCAAGAAGACAAGGAAGCAGAGGCTATCAGCGCTGTAGGGTTGGATGACCCCAATGTGATTGCCGGATCAGCTGTCGTAGGGGCTGGCATCGGCCTCTTAGCAGGAGGAGGATTGATGGCTGTTGCAGGAGGTATTCATAGCATCCCATGCTCCTAATCTGTTTGCTTGCTCTGTCAACACTCTATGCAACTTTGTAATGATGTGCCTGTGACACACGTGCTTTTAGCTGGTATCGGCGCGCTTGCTGCCTCTCGCAAGGGATACTGGGGTGATCAAAGCCGTGCAGCTGGTAAGCACGTCGTAAACGCTGCCAAGGCTGCCAAGGATGTCGGAGACAAATGGAAGATAGCTGAGAAGGCCAACGCTGTTGCAAGCGATGCCAACAAGAGGATACAGGATGCCAAGTTGAAAGACAAGATGGATAATGCCGTCAGAAGGACGGACGAGTTCTTAACTGCATCAGCGAGAAGAGCAGATGAATTGATGGTGACTGCAAGGTACTTTTTGATCCTTGTGATACAAGATTGGTTTCTGAAGATGACACTGTCATCAGGCCAAAGATCAACCGGTGGTATGAAAGAGCAAGACAGGTTGCTGCAGAAGTCAGCAACAGTGCACAGAGTATTGTCAACAGCAAGAAGAAGCCTCATACGGAAGAAGTGACGGAAGTCTAGACCTACCAAAACTCTGAGCTTATCAAAGTTGAACGACTATTGTAGTTCTAGTTGATTGATCCGATCGGATGCTCAGCTTCATGGCGGTGGCTGCCAGGTGTGAGGTGCCGTTTTATCGGCGCAGCGTTAGCTCTGCGGCGAGCATCCTTCTTGCAGCTTTGGTTTACACGTAAACTTTTGCATTCACGGCACATCCGGCGGCGGTATCGGCTGCCAAGGCTTCGTCATCCGATTCGGCGAAGCCTGCGCCTGCCGGGCCGCAAGCCAGTGCACCAAACCCGCCCCCATCCCCATTTCCCCCCTCCTCCTCCATCCTGGGAAGAGCGCTCGCCGCCCCTTGAACCGTTGACTTGCCAAGTTAGTACCGGTGGCATGTGTGCCGCAGCCTGGCAGTCCGCATGCCCCGCACCGTCAGTGCTGCCCGGAGAAGTTGTAAAAATTGGTGGTCCTGAGTGCCCATGGCATTACTGAGTCAGATGTGTTTGTCTGCTGTGCTTGGGCATCATTGACATTTCAAGTACACTCTGAGGTGTAGATCAAGTTTCTTGCTGTATGCAATCGTGTTGAAAGTTTCCTCGTCAACTTGGTCTTGGCCGCAAGTTCCGCATCGATTGGCAGTGCTCTTGTTTGCGAGTGCAAAGAGGGAACGACGTAGGAGAATCTGGGATGCAAGAATAATGCCGGTGGGACCGAGAAGAGTCATCGGCGAGTGACCCGTCTGAAGGATTCTGTGGGTGTACAGGACGAGACTGATGCTGACAAGAGCCAGCAAGAAACTCAGAAGCGAAGGACTTGTGCAACCCATGACAAGGATCGGAGAGCAGCGGCCACAGAGGTCCAGGTCGAGAGTGTGGGTGGACTGGCTGTTCCCGGAAAGCCCAGCATTCCAAGCTCGAGAGCTCGTCGACGATCCCAACAGATAGGCTCTCCAGGTTTTTGTTGTCAAGATGTAGTCTCCGCAGGCTTGTGAGTTTGTCAAATTTGCCATCGGGGAGGCTTGAAAGCTGATTATTATCAAGGTACAGGCAGCACATGCCCAAAAGACAGTCTTGAGATCTGATTGTAGTACAAGTGAAATGTCCACAAGTTGGTGAGTCTCTGAAAGATTCCCTGCAGGAGACTTGCAAGCTGGTTGTATGCTACATACAACCGTACCACACTTGTCAGCCCATCACAGTCCAACTGGAAACTCCAGGTTTAAGACTTAGTACCTGCAAGCTTGTGAGCCCATCGAAAGTCCCATCTTCAATATGCAGAATACCTACATGATCCAATTCAAAACTTCTATAGCCCCACTGTTCAGTTCCACAGCTACCCCCACAGTTCCCCTCCCTCATAACAAGCCCTCATCTGAGACATGAAACTTGCAGCCCTCACAGCTCACATTGCCTGCCGCCTCGGCTTGCGGGAAAGAGTACAAGCCACAGCACACACACAGTGAGTATTTTTTTCACGTTCTCTCCTTGACCCGTTCGCAGCAACAGGATGTTCGCTGCTTCCTTTCCCTGCTTTGCGCAAGCGAGAAGTATCTCTTTTACTCAAAAGTGGAAAGCGAAAGATAGTTGGAGTAGCAATCCAGGCAGACATATTCATCATCTTTTTGAAACAAACACAAACTTAACGCATTGAAGGACTAACACAAGTACATGACTGATCAACTTGATTGAGACGCCGTGATACTGATGATCGGGTCGGACCAGGCTGGGTGCTGCTGTCATCTGTCTTCTTTGCGTAGCATGAGCTCATCCTCAAGGCCCCTGAAAAAAGCCATCAGACAAAAAGAAAGGCAACACTGAGAAAGCAAAACTTTCACCATGGGATGAATTTCTTCTCCTCTTCATCAAACACATAGCAGAAGGCATTCCTAGGCCTCGCACACGAATCTTCATGGCTGCACACCCACACCTCATACCTACCCCTCACCATCAGCTTCCCGAGTCCCCCCATCGTGATGGTGTGGTTCGTCGCGAGCTCACTGGCCACGATCTCTCGCCAGTCATGCTGTATCCGGCAGCGGAGGTAGTCCGGGTGGAGAGTCCAGGTTCGCGGTGGTGGGCCTGTTGGTGTCGTGGTTGGCATGTCTGGTACTGCCGGAGTTGTAGCTGGGATATCTGGTGTTGCTGAAGCTGTAGTTGGAATCTCTAGTGATGCTGAAGCTGTAGTTGGGAAGTTGTCGCACTGAGTTTCGTTGAGGCATGGTTCCAGGTTCGCGTCGAATCGAGTAAAACTTGGCCAGGATGGGTCCTTGCACAGAAGATTGTTGCCTTCCAGGTTCAAAAAGAAAAGCGAAGACAAACCAGCGAAAGCCCGGGAGGAAACACAGGAAAGCTTGTTGGCGGCAAGATCTATCTTCTGCAAGCTCGAGAGCCCGTCGAAGATCCCTGCAGGCAGACTCTTCAGCTGGTTGAAGTCGAAATGTATCCCCAGCAAGTTAGAGCGCCCGTGGAAGATCCCCGCAGGAAGGCTCTCCAGCTTGTTCCTGTAAAACCCTAAATCCTTCAAGCTCGAGAGCCCATCGAAGATCCCTGCAGGTAGACTCTGAAGCTGGTTGTCGTGAAATTGCAAAGACTGCAAGCTCGAGAGCCCGTCGAAGATCCCTGCAGGCAGAGTGTACAGCATATTGTTGGGAATATGTATTTGCTCCACACTTGAGAGCCCTTCGAAGATCCCTGCAGGCAGACTCTGAAGCTTGTTTTGTCCAAGTTGTATCAACCGCAAGCTCGAGAGCCCGTGAAAGGTCCCATTAGTTATGTTCCGAATTTCAAGGGAGGTCAATGACAACCCCCCAGTACAGCTATCCGCACAGCTCCCTTCCCTCCACAACAAGCCCTCATCCGAGACATGAAACGTGCAGCCCCCACAGCTCACACTGCTTGCCGCCTCGGCCTTAGGACATATCCACGCCCCTAGTACAGCCCAAAGCACACACGCACACAGCATCCTCCTCATGCTCCCTCCTTATCCACTGCAACTCACCTGAGACCGGTACTATTGACTATGAACGCGCCGCCCACCCTACCCCAGCTAGCATACTGCCCACCCTACCCCAGGTAGCATACTGCTCACCTACCCCAGGTAGCATGCTGCTCACCCTACCCCAGGTAGTAAACTACCCACCCTACCCCAGCTAGCAAAAAGCCCACCCTACCCAAGGTATCGATTTGATCGCGTTGACTCTCGCGGTCCTGGTCTCGGAGGACCGTGTGGTAAAGACTATTGAATCGAGAGCCGCATTTCGGAGATTATGTTGCGTCCCTAGAAAAGATACAAAGAGAGAAGTTGTGGAGTCCGAGTCTCTGAAACTCCTTCTGCCAATGCCTGATTTTACGAGGCGAGTGTGCTCGAGCAGCAAGGGGCACTACCCCTAATCCTTCCCTTAGCCTATATAAGGATCAGCCTCTTCAGCTACAAGGGTCTCTTCTCTCCTCATGTTGTATGCCACGCTGATGTAGCATCGCTAGTGACTCAACGTCACTACACACTACACCTTTATGTTGTAAAGTCTGTCAATGGCGATACTCAGGCTGATCAAGCGAATCTGAAAGCGATTCGAATTTCTGGAGAAGCGAAAAAAATTGTTTCAAAAGTGTATGGAATCTGTATCACTCTTGCAAACATGCCAAAGGGATTCTGCTCCTTTTGAGAAACTGACAGGAGCAAAATTTAACGGAGCAAATTTTGCTTTGACCGATTCATCCAAAGAAGTGTGATGGAACTGAGTTCCTTCTTAGATAGTCGGTGAGAATCTTCGATGGTTCAAGGCCGAAATGAAATATTCGAGAAATATCTTAAGGATTTCATCTCGTGGCTCAATCAGGGAGAAGGGCAGAGAGCTCAAGTGATAGAAGTGGGCAGTTTGCCAAGACAACGTATGTCAAGAACATAAAAATATAAGAAACAAGGCGGTGACGAGATGAAATCAGATGGGCTTAGATTTTGGCTGTAATTCGATTGTTTAAGGTTCGCAAAACACATATGACTAACAGCAGCGAGATAGAGCTCAGAAATTTGGCTAAGTGTTTTTGAGTCTTCGACCTCTGAGGCGGCATTTCACGAGTACCACCCGGGCCTCTGCTCTCATTCGCTGCAACATGTCACCCCCCGAAGCTTTATGGGTTGCAGACGTCTACAGCGAATGCTCAAGGCACCTCCACTGGATCACACAGAGAGGTGAGGTGTGGTGAAGTCGAGTTTACTAGCGATGATGCTAGCTCAGCGTGGTATACAACATGAGGACAGAACAGACCCTTGTAGCTAAGATCCTTATATAGGCTAAGGGAAGGATTAGCTTCTGCTCCACTTCTTACCAGGAATGAGGAAACCACCCGTACTAGAGAGGCTCTCTCTGCCAGCTGGGGTCATCCTCTAGAGCACATCTAGCCGTTCAATGCTTTCAGTCCTTTGAGAGTCCTTCGCCTGACTTTGTTGACGATCAAGGCTAAGCCTAGCCTTGAGTGCTGTCCCTTACCTTGCCAGGGTAGGCCCCAATCTGAGCTCGCTGTGCTAGGGCTTTGATCGTGACTCTCCAGCTGCTGCCTTCTTGGAGAGTTCTCTCTCAGAAGATTTCGCTTTCAACTTACCGACGATTCCTGTCATCTGACTCTTGCTCACGAGTCTTTCAAGTTCAGACTCTGCTGTCATACGCCGCTCCCCCGCGGCTACTTCGAGTACTAGGCGGCTCAGCGGCTGCCAGCTTAGGACATCGTAAGCACGACTCCCAGAGGAACGAGTTTGCTACGGTTTGAATCATTGGCATCGGAAGTCACCCATGACTTCCAGGAAGGGAACGTATATCATAACGTTCCACAGCATCGCCTTGCAAGGCACGTTGCGACAAAAGCCTCTCCTGTCACAGTCAAGTTACGGTACTATGATAAGTTGAGAACTTGAAGTACTGTCCCTCGGACCGTACCGTGAACCGAACCGTGACACACAGTTGCCAGATGGTCCGATCGTGACATCTTTGTCATTTGGCAGCCGCCCGCGCTACGAGCCCGCCGGCCGGCCGCGGGCCGGGCTCGGGACCCGAAAAGTGCGGGCCACACGGCGGCGCGGCCCCCGCGCTGAGCAGTGACTCGGAGGCCGCGTGCCGCAGTCCGTCACTGTCAGTCATGCGGCTCAGCGGCTCAGCTGCCACCGGGCACATCCGAGTCCGGGGCCCGGCGGGTCCGAGCCGCCGAGCCCGACGGTCTGACTCGGAGACGATCCAATCAGCCGGCCCCCGGGCCCGGGCCCGGCGGCCGGCCGGGCGGCGGCGGCCTCCGAGTCAGACTCGGTCTCCGACCTAATCCGCGCCAGTCCGAGTCGCCGGGGCGGTCCGATCAGGCACCGTGCCACGCCGATGCCATGATACTCAGTGATTTTTCCACTCAAAAGTTTGAGTAAAGACTCAAAAAAATCCCGCGGCCGCAGGCGTGACTCACTGAGTCAGGCATCAGTGATCAGCCGCACGGCGCATGCCTCCGAGGCGGATCCGAGGACCAGGTGACCACCCGTACTAGCAGTCTCCCGTACGGTGAGTGAACTCGGGGTAGGGTCTCGGAGCCTTCGGCGATCGGCCGGGAGCCTGAGGTAAAAGTCAAAAATGTACCCGGCAAATAATTATTGGCGCCGTGTGATGACAGGTGTTGCAGTGTGCCAGTCAAACACGAGCGGAGGTGGGGGGTCACTGTACTATCGCTGAATCACTTAGTGCGAGCAAAGGAAAATCTCCCAGCCTTGCACCCCCCTCGGCCTACCAGGTTACGACCCTACCAATATCTCAAACGCACCGGCTCGCAACCTACGACTCTCGAGGTACGAGAACTGAAACCGTGAGCTGGCAGGACAGAGAGGCCATGCAGGCAGGGGAGGAGAATCCTGCAAGCTTCCGAAAGAACCGGATCAGGTTAGACCCAGCCAGGCTCGAGGCCCTCTTCTGCTACAAAGAAAGCGAGGCTGCTAAAATCCTCGGTATTTCCCTCACTGCCATGAAGCGCGCATGTAGAAGGGCGGGGATCACAAAATGGCCTTACTCGAGGTCTCGAGCAGGATGCAGACCAGGCCTGCCGTCAACCTCTACTCGTTCCTCGTCTCCTGCAACATCATTGGGAGAGATGGGATGCGAAGAATGGGGGTGGGGGCCGGGTGAGAGCCCGCTAGAAGTGGAATGGATTGAATGGTACGTGAATCACAATGTGGAGGAGGACTCTGAGGCCTCTTGTCCGTTCAAGATAATTTCTTCAGGTTTATGAATGCTTTCTTGGGCATAGAGGTCGAAATAATATTGTATTTAATCTCATTGCGTGTTTGGTGGATAGCAAAACGCCCTTCAGCAGGTTTCTGCACATGCAACAAGCAGTATCCAATCCCCCACGAATGATTGTTGTATCCGGCGATGACGTGGGCTACCAAACCCTCCCCAGAAAGAATCAATTCTTTAAGCTGCAGCATCCCTGCCATGCTAGGGGCTAGAGTCTCAGGCTCAGGATGCAACAACCTTCCATCTCCTCGCTCTGTACTGAAGATATCGTTGCCATGGCTAATATCAGGTCCTGATATCAATATGTAATGGAAAGTCACGATCCATCTTCAGTCACTTTCACGATCCATCTTCAGTCCCCGTCTGTCACGATCCATCTTCAGTCACTGTCACGATCCATCTTCAGTCACTGTCACGATCCATCTTCAGTCACTGTCACGATCCACCATCTTCAGTCACTGTCACGATCCATCTTCAGTCCCCGTCTGTCACGATCCATCTTCAGTCCCCGTCTGTCACGATCCATCTTCAGTCACTGTCACGATCCATTTTCAGTCACACCGTCTGTCACGATCCATCTTCGGCTGCCTCCTCCTGAAGCCTTCCAGCCTGACAATTACACCAACACTTGCTGCAGTAGCACGATCTCGACGGCCCGGCCGGCACCGCCGTGACATGAATGGCAGTGACTCGAGCGGACTTGCAACTTCACTTGACATTGGAGTTGCATTCGAGTTTGTCAGGTTCCAAAGAGAGGAGGGAGACAGCCAAAGTGGCCCACAAATCTATGTTCATCGAGAGAGAGAGAACGTTGATTGTTGGAACTTGCCAGTATCTGTGCGGCAGGCTGGAGTCCTGACGTTGGAAGAAGTGAAAGACATGTGATTGAACATAAGGAGCAGGAACCCAACCTTGAAGACGTGAACGCTGGCACCGTCGTGGCACTGTGTTGGAGCACTGAACAGCCTGTGTGTCACAATGACGATTCAGATGATGGCGTTCGTCAGCAGTGACGGTAAGAAGCTTTCACTCAATCATGAGTGTTTGGGGCCCGGCCTGCCACGGTACTGGCACGGTACGGTATCACCCCGCGTGCCACGGTGACGGTGCCACTGGTCAGCAAACGGCCATAGCCCGGGCCGGCGGGGGGGACCCGTCTGACCAGTGACGGTGAGGTCGGCCACCGGGCCGGGCCGTCCGGTGCCACCGTGACAGGGGCTTCCGGCGGGAGCCGGCCCGGCTCGGAGTCCGGCCCCTCGGCGGCGGTCACGGTGCCCGGCCGCGGCTCAGCGGCTGCAAATCCCGGCATGGCGGCGCGCCGCCATGACCGTCTAGTCCGAGTCAGTACCAGCCTTCAAGGGTGACGGTGCAGTGCGGCCCGGCGGCCTGGATCATCGCGGCCGGGCCGGGCGCCGAGCCGCGGCCGCTCCGCCGTGACTCGCCGACTCGCCGAGTCGCGGCCGCCGCCGGGGAGTCGGATCGTGGCCAAAAATAGACCGTTACCATGAAACGGTTTTGTCATTTGACAATTTGAGGGTAGGTGGAGTACCCCACCCATCTTATTGTGTTCTTTATCTTCCAGGTATTACCATTACCCCCAAATCTAGCCCACTTTTCTGGATAATGTCCCATACCAGTACCCAACCTGTATGTGTTCCGCCCACCCCCATGGAATAGTACCCTTACATTCTCACCCACCCCTTAAAAAATAATACCCCTTGAGAGAAAAGTCAACCCACCCCGTGGGTAGTCGCTTCATCCGCGGGCAAAGGACCCCACCCTATGAACTCAAAGATTTTGTACCCCTACCCCATTTCAATCGTTCAACTACCAGGGTATTCCAATGAAGTCCGAATTGAGGATTCAGTTGTACCGGTACTCATGCTACCCCACCTCACCATGACTTTAGCCCCCTCACCCACCCTATTTCCAATCACCCTACCCTTCATTTCATGCCCGACTGTTACCCTGCCTATTGATTCGCACCCCACCCCGCGATTCAATCACCCCACCCCATCTTTCAGTGTAGGCTTGGTAGCAATCATAGATGATCGACCGGTCCATTTTTGTACACCCACCCCTCCTGGGATCCGAAGAATGCATTCGCTGCTCGGAGCCCATGGTGGAGGATCGGGGGAGAGAGAGCGCCGGCATGGGACTCTGTTAGCCTTGTCATGGGACAAGAGTCTTGCTCTCCATAATCTTCTCCATGCTCTACTCCATCACTAGCTCTCCCTCAGTACCTAGAGTCCGAGGCAGTGTGTTGAGGCCGGACGATTGTGTTAGTAGCCTGTTCATGAGCGCTAGAAGCATGAAGTAGCTCCATGCGGTACCTGATCCGATCATAGGGTCAGTCCGTAGATCAAGAGTGCAGGAGGGGAGACGACCTAGAGTGCTGTTGCCATGCGGTGTAGGGGGGCTACTACGATTTAGAGGTGGGGAGAACAATGCGCCTTTCCTTTCACAGATGAATGCCCAGGTTGAGAGAGCCGCTGTTTGATGTTTTCCTGCAGGTTATGGAAAAAATCAAGTTGTCTTGAAAGGGCAACTAGTCTTCCGAGCATATCTGCTTTGTGGGGCCTCGGGGATCGTGAATCCAAGTGTTACTGATTCGTGCAGTTCCCTCTCAACATGTCCGCGTTTCCAGAGTTCCCGTTAACTTCAAGATATCTGGTTCTGCCATGTGCAGCATGCAAGCAGATGGACTATGTCTTGTACAAGCATCCCTTCTTCAACATTGGGATCTGCGAAGCTTGCCTGGAAGATCAGATCCAGGTAAGCTTCTACGGAATCAACTCGCTCTCGGAGACGGACAGGGCCAACTTTCACTGGGAGCTCGACGTGGATGGCACGGAGCTCTTCTGCAGATGCTGTGGAGAGGGGGGTGAGATCTTGCTTTGCGATGGGTTCTTTCCCATCCTTGCGGGGCAGAAGGGGATCCATGGGAATGGCAAGTGCATGCGAGCTCTTTGTGCATCCTGTATGGATGAATGGTCAACGTCAGAGACCCAGCGGGAGGAATTCTTGTGTCCTGACTGTGAAGTTCGATCTCGGTCAGAGTCAACGCTGATCACCAACATACAACGACGACAATATTCAGCATTCATCGGAGTGCACATGCTGTTCAGCAACGAGCGCGTGTGTGACATTGCTGCCACGTACAGGGTCGATCCCAACGCGCTGATCAAGAGAAATGAGAGCACGCACCCCAAGGTGAGCAAGAGTACAGTACTGAAGAGGGGATCGCTGGTGCTGCTCCCTCGGCCTCATGAGCACTCGAACGAGAGGGAGGATGCGGAGAGGAAGGAGAGGAGGAGAAAGTTTGAGAAGGAGCTCTTGAAGTTCTTGCGGAAGATTGCCCGCAGTGCTCAAGAGGAGATGATGATGAAGTGTAAGCCTTCCATGGTTCGGCTTCCCATCAAGAAGGCAAGGGTGACAAGGATTCTATGTGAGGACATCAGCAACGGGCGGGAGCACCCGTTCAAGATCCCCCTGGTCCTTGACTCGGACGTGGAGTACGAGGGGCACCCTCCGGAGATCCCTTCCTTCACCTACATCAAGAATAACATCTTCGGCCCGAGCCTCAGCAAGTTGCCAAACCTGATCGGGAAGATCGGGGGATGTATCGGCTGCGATGGCTCGAGGTGCAACAACAAGGGGATGACAAACCTGCGCAGTCTGTACGCGAACCGCCGGGACTTTTGGAATTGGATGGTTTGTAGTGAGAGAGAGAATTTCAGCCGGAACCTTCCTGGGCCGTTGAATCTGGAGAGCCTGGAGGAGAGCATCGGCATCCAGCCCTTGTGCTCATGGGGAGCGTACATGATCAGGTCCCACAACAAGTTCTTTCTCAAGAACACGGCAGACGTGATCTTTGAGTGCAACCTCCTCTGCAAGTGCGATGCTCAGAAATGCCCAAACAGAATCCTTCAGAGGGGGATTACTTGTAGATTAGAAGTGTTTTGGACGGGACGGGAGCGAGGGTGGGGAGTTCGAGCAGCGGAGGACATACCAAGGGGAGCGATGGTTTGTGAGTATGTGGGAGAGTACATCAACGAGGATGAAGCGGACAAGCGAGCAAACGATCTCTACCTCATGGAGCTGCCATGCCCGCGCGAGCGATGGTCGTGGAGGGTCTGGATGTACCCCGAGGATCAGATGGTGGAAGACGAGAGCATGCCGGAAAAGCGCAACATGCTGTACAAGGAGGTCTAGAGCCTGTCGCCTCTTGTATGCTGCTTGACTTGATTTGGTAGATGATTGAGAAGAGGTATCGCCGCGGTGCAATGGACGGACACGTGCAAGAACCAGCCGCTGCTCCTGCTCTTTCTCTTAATCCTATTCCTGCTCATGCTCATGCTCATGCTCATGCTCATGCTCCTGCTCCCGCTCCTGCTCCTGCTCCTCTAGCTACAACTTCAGCTGCGGCCTCAGCTACAACTTCAGCCGCATCACCACCTGCTTCGCCTCCAGCATCTCCTTTGGTTGACTATGACGGGGCCAGCGAGCACGGGGAGGCGACAGAGCTCGTTGAGATCCTGGTACCCGAGGAGAACACCCCAGCTGGGGAGTCAGGCACCGAGGCGGACCACGGGCTCTCCGACGACGAGACGTCGATCATCATCCTAGACCAGGAGTCGACATGTACAAAGAACCCGGAGGCAGACACTCATCGCAAGGCCCTCCACGAGGCCCCGGCGCCGGGCAGTGCTGACTCAGCAGGCCCGCCAGGTGAAGGAGGGCAGAGCGGGTGAGGGCGAGGGGGCACATGACATGCTTTGAAGCCGCAGAAGAAGCGAAGATGAACCCTGACGACGTGGACACGATAATTGACGCCTGTCTCTACGGCAACGTGGCTAGGTGCTGGATCCCTGAGGGAGAGGAGACAGGCGTCTCGCTGACGTGACGTTTTCAGGTTCATCAACCACAGCTGCGATGGCGGGAACTTGACGAAGCAGGTTGCGCTCGCCACCTTCTCTCTCCCGCTGCTGCTGACCCGAGCAAGGTTGTGGCGGTGGATAGCACCCTCGACCTGCGCTGGTGCCGAGTCGCTCTCTTCGCTCATCATCCCATCCCCGCGGTCTCCTCCTCCCCCTCCCCTTGCTGAGCTAACGGAGGCGCAGGGTACGGAGCTCACGTACGACTACGAGTGGAAGGTGAAGGACCCGGAGAAGCCTTCGCTGCTCTGCCACTGTCACTCCCCAGAGTGCCGGAGATTCATCCTTTAGACCCTGTGCTAGTGCAAAATGTTTTATCTTTGCGAGCTTACGAAACCATGGCTTGCTCAGCTACTATCCTGCTGCTGCCTTCACGCCTTCAAGCTCTTGGAAGCAATCTCGTATGCGTCTCTGCTCAACCCCGAGGTAGCGATGAGTCTCTCGAGCTCAGCCTTGATAAGCGCCTGGCGCTTCTGGTCGTAGCGGCGGAAGGTGGAGAAGGAGGAGACGAGGCGAGCAGACATCTGAGGGTTCATCTTATCGATGTCGAGGATGCGATCGGTCAGCCAGCGGTAGCCGGAGCCGTCGGCGGCATGGAAGTGCTTCATGTTGCCTGCGAAGGCTCCGATGACGGATCGGCACTTGTTGGGGTTCTTGAGCGAGAAGTCAGGATGCTGCAGGAGCGCTCCAACGTCGCTCAGGGACGTGGTCACGTCCGCCATGGCCTGCATGGTGAACCACTTGCAGAGGATGAGGTCGTTGCCCTTGGCATGCTTCTCGTAGAAGTTCTCCAATGCCTGCTTCCTTGCCGCCTCGTCGGAGCTGCCGGCCAGGAGTGACGTGGCGGCCACCAGGTCAGTCATAGCGGTGGACTGCAGCGCCTGGTCAAGGCAGAGCTTCGTGTACTTGTCCTCCTTGAGCGCCATGAGGTAGTCCAGGCAGACGTTCTTGATCCTCCTCCTACCCACAGCGTCTGCGTCGTTGCGGAAGGGCTCGGAAGGCAGCTGGTTCGACTTGTACGCTGTCTCGAACTCCGCTCGGAGTTTCTTGGCCATGCTCTCCTTGACGAACTTGCAGGCAGCCACCAGGGCGTCGGGGTCAATGACGTCCATCTTCGCTCCGAGCGTGAGGAGGGAGGGGAGCGTGAGCGCGTAGGCCTGCAGCGACTTGTCGATGTCCTCGAGGAGGAGCGTCCTCTTGGCTGCGTCCACGATGACCTGCGGCAGCTCCATGTCCTTGCCGTCCTGGAAGGCCTTGACGTTGGCGAGGATGGAGCGAGTGAAGAGTTCCTGCCCTGCCTCCCACCTGTTGAACGAGTCCTGGTCGTTGGCCATGAGGAACGCGAGCTCCTCGTCGCTGCGAGGCAACTTCACGTTGACAGGAGCGCTGAAGCCACGGAGGAGCGACACGACCGGCTCCTCCTTCACGCCCTCGAACACGAACGTTTGCGACGCCTCCTTGAGCTCTAGCACCCGCTCGGGGACGAGGTCCTTCCCGTCCTTGCCGATGAGGCCGACGCGCACGGGGATGTGGTAGGGCTGCTTTGTCGGCTGCCCAGGGGAGGGGCCGCAGGACTGGGAGAGAACCAGCTCGAAGCGCTGCTTGTCTGCCGAGTAGGAGGCCTTGGCCTCCACCGTCGGCGTCCCTGCCTGGGTGTACCAGCGCTCGAATTGCTCGAGGTCAACGCCGTTGGCGTCAGCCATGGCGGCACGGAAGTCGTCGCAGGTAACTGCAGTGCCATCATGGCGCTTGAAGTAGAGGTCCATGCCCTTGCGGAAGCCTTCCTTGCCCAAGAGCGTTTGGTACATGCCGATCACCTCCGCTCCCTTGTTGTAGACGGTGGCCGTGTAGAAGTTGTCCATAGCGATGTAGCTCTCCGGGCGGATGGGATGCTGGGCAGAGCGTCACAGGGAAGCTGGAGGAGGGGCACATAAGGGGCAAGTGAAGACAGTGAAAGAGGAAGGGAAGAGGAAATAAACACAAAAGAGTGCACAGAATCATCGAGTACAGCACGTCTCCTCCCTCCATCCCTCACCGCCATGGGGCTGTCGTCCTGCGGGAACTGCGCAGCGCGGAGGATGCGAACGTCCTCGATCCTCTTGACGGCCTCGGAGGTCATGTCAGCACTGAACTGCTGATCCCTGAATACCGTCAGACCCTCCTTCAGCGTCAGCTGGAACCAGTCACGGCAGGTGACGCGGTTGCCAGTCCAGTTGTGGAAGTACTCGTGCGCGATCACTCCCTGGACTCTCTCGTAGTCGCTGTCTGTCGCAGTCGACGGCTTGGCGAGCACGCAAGCGGTATTGAACACGTTGAGCCCCTTGTTCTCCATAGCGCCCATGTTGAAGTCGTTGACGGCAACGATGTTGTAGATGTCAAGGTCGTACTCGAGCCCGAACCTCTCCTCGTCCCACTTCATCGAGTCCTTGAGGCTTTGCATCGCCCAGTCCAGCTGGTCCACGTTCGCGTGCTCGCTGAAGATCTCCAGCGCCACCTTCCTGCCCGACCGGGTGGTGAAGGTGTCCTTGATCGAGCCGAGGTCCCCGGCAACGACGGCGAACAGGTAGGAGGGCTTCGGGAACGGATCCTCCCATTCGGCGAAGTGCCTTCCCTCGCCCATCTCCCCCTTGCTCACCAGGTTCCCGTTGGACAGGAGGACCGGGCAGGACTTCTGATCCGCCTCGATCCTCACCTTGTACTTGGCCATGACGTCAGGGCGGTCGAGCATCGGGGTGATGCGGCGGAAGCCCTCAGCTTCGCACTGCGTGCAGTACATGCTGGAAGACTTATAGAGGCCCGAAAGCTGAGTGTTGTCCTCCGGCTTGATCTTGACCACAGTCTCTAGCTCGAACTTGTCAGGCAGCCCGCACTTGATCTCAAGCACATCCTTCTCAGGGAAGTGATAGTCCGAGGACGAGAGCTCCTTGCCGTTGAGGAGCACAGATACTACCTCAACGTCCTCTGCATCCAGGCGGAGGGTGGCGGACTCCTGCGCCCCCTTCCTTCTCTCCGCCGATAGCTTCCCACGCACGGTCGTCTGCCCATCGTGGATCTGGATGAGGAGGTCGACGTTCCTCACCCAGTAGTCAGGCTCCTTGTAGTCCTTGCGGAACTTCTCCACAGGCTGCTCGGTGGCAACGGCAGAGGACGCCGCCATGCGCAGCGGGGTGGAGGAGGCAGGACCCCTCAAGGAGGGCAGCACGGTCCTGTACGGCTTCGCTGCGCGCAGGCGAAGAGAGGACTGGAACCGCCATTGGGAGTTAGCGAGGTTGTGGAAGTTGCTACGGATAGCAGGAAGAGGAGAAGAAGCAGAGAAGGTGAGCGGAGAACGCGCCGATGGCAGCACGGCAAAAGCAAGCGACCCTGAGGAGGGAGACGCAGAAAGCTGCGATGGAGCCGGCTGGGAAGAAGCGGGGTTGAGCCGGGAGGAGGGGAGGGAGGAGGAAGGGAGGAGGGAGGAGGAGGGAGAGGAGGAGAGAGGAGGATGAGCTGCTATGGCTCGCAGCAGCATCGCTACCGCTAGCAGACGCTGCATGTAATGGCCACCGTTGGAGGCCGACTGGGGTGCAAGCGCCTTGATAACTGGAAGGAGGGGGCTTGGAGGGTTAAGGTAAGTGGATATGAAAAATATATTGGGAGAGACATATGAAATATTTGAGGTAGTGTACTGGTAGGTAAAAGACCCTCTGGTGAAAAGAAGCAACAGCGCTTTAAATTTACAGCCAAGTTGCAAAGGGGCGCAAAGAGGACGAGGGGAGAAGGGTGGAGAGGAGAGGAGGGGAGGAGGAGCAGAGGAGGAACAGAGGAGGAGCAGAGCAGAGCAGAGCAGAGCAGAGTAGCAGAGCAGAGCAGAGCAGAGCAGAGCAGAGCAGAGCAGAGCAGAGCAGAGCAGAGCAGAGCAGAGCAGAGCAGAGCAGAGCAGAGCAGAGCAGAGGAGGAGAGCAGAGGAGGAGGAGAGCAGAGCAGGGGAGGGAGGAAATGCAAGAGGGAGGAGCAAGTATCTGAAAAAATCAGAGAGAAGGAGAGGGAGGAGAAAGGCAGGAAGATGGTATGTGGAAGGAGATAAAGGGAGAGAATCAATTACAGCTCGTGAGGCGAAGGAGAATGAGCGAAGGAGAATGAGGGACTCAACGCGAAGAAGATGGTAAGGTGCCTTTGTGTGTGGTGCCGAGGAGAGGAGAAAGAAAAGGGAGGAAGGTGAGGTAGAGGAGTGACAAGGCCAGGAAGGAAGATCTGAAAGAGGTAGGTCTGTCATGTTTGTTGTTGGAATAGCTTGCAGGGAAGGTTGAAGAGACCAGGGAAGGAACAGACGATGGGGATGAAGGAGGAGGGGGAAATGACATTCATGTGTTGTGGAATTATGATTCACAGCGAACCTGCAGCTGTGCTGTAAGGTGATACTGTAAGACCTTGCTTTCTTGTTGATAAACACTCTCGAAGACACAAACACACCATCACGGCCCGTTATCCACAGAACTTTCGATGCTCCTTCACAGATCTGCAAGCCTCTGTTTCATCTCCTTTCTCCACGCGGAATGCTCCGCATGGCAGCGGCCGATGGACTAACAGGCAGAGTTGTAAGCTGATTGGAAGCTTGTGAGGACGACGTTCCCTCACCTCATCAAGATTCGTTGGCAGCATCCGACATGCCATGTCATCCTGGGAAGTTCAAGTCATGGCGATCGTTGACGTGGTAGAGATGCAAGCTCGACATCGTAAGTGAAGGATCTGCTACATTTTACCCACCTCCTCCTCGTCCATCGCACTTTCACCTGCTACGTTGCGCCATGCTCAAACGCGCTTGTCTATCTCCTCCTCCTCCTCCTCCTCCTCCTCCTCCTCCTCCTCCTCCTCCTCCTCCTCCTCCTCCTCCTCCTCCTCCTCTCCATCCTCCTGCCATTGTTTGTTTTCTCGCTTGTCCGACATCGACATCAACAATCTCTCGAACTTCTCTTCACGCCATGCTCTCTGTAGCAAGTTCTATCAATCTCCCCGTCAGATCGCCACATCCCTCGTGCGGTTCTTCAGTCACCTTGTTCAACACAGCATGCTTCATCCATCGCCTAGAGCTCCTGCACATCACGAGAGTTTCTGCCTTCGATCCTGCCGACAACCAGCAATGCCAACCCGTCACTTTGGCTCTCGACAGCGCAAGCATCCTCCTCTGTGCCTCTCGAAGATCGCAGAAGATCCTCCTCATTGCTGCCACTTTCCTGGTCTGCAGGCAGCGAGACAGTCTTAACGACATCATCGTCCTCCTGCGCGCGTACTGCAACCTGCGATCGCATCAACAGAGAGTACAGTGCTTGTCTTCACCCGCTCTCACCATCCTCGGAGAGTCTGCGACCTGAGCCTCGAGCTTCTCTCTGCTACGACTGCGACACGTCATCACGTTCGAGTCCCTCAGGGTAAATCTTGGAGCACCTCTCTCCTCCTCCTCCTGTGCTCGCTGCTTCAGACTCCACAGCCTCTCGGAACGAGGCTCCCGGGGATGGTGTGGGGGTGCTGGACTTTGTCTGTGCTCGGAGCTTACCAGCAATCTCCCGCTCGGATCGTGCGACGATTCATCTGCTCCACTAGACGCTGAAGTGGCTGAAAAACTTGTAGGAGCGACTGCAGTCTTGGTGGACAGATCCAACCTCAACTCACAGTTGTCTTGCTTCACTGTACTGGTGTACATGTGAACATGAGACAGTCTGGCCGATCCTGATGTGCAAGAGGATGGAGCGGTCGGACGATGAGGGAACATCACGCTCTCCACTTTCTTCTTCGATTCTGTTTTGCAAACTCTCCGGCATCTCAATCTTGTTCGAAGTTCTGGGAAAGGGAGATATCAAACCAAGTTTGCTTCTCAAGTGGTAGAACAAGGACGATCAACCTTGCAGTGCTTGAGATGGCTGAATCGTCGTCGGAATGTGGTTGTTTGAAGGAGGAGAAGGAGGGGAATGAGAGAAACTAGAGGATCCGCGGTTTTTCCTCTGCGAGCGTCCTTCTCGTACAGGTATCATGTTCTGGACCTGGAACGAAGCACAACGGGACTGATTGCGCAAAACTTCGGTGTTTTGATCCAACTTGCTTCGGAGCTGCCGCCTGGAAACATGTTCCTCCAAACCACTACTTGTCTCCATCCACACCTTGAGCATCCTCTCAGCTTCCTCTGCGACTTGATCTTCTTCTCTCATCCCCAGGCATGCGCGAAGTCTCCTCATGACAGAGCCCGAGGTCAACTCCTCCTCTTCACTGCCTCCATCGCAGCCAGTAAAATGGCAGTCTGTTCCCAACAAGCCCCCTCCTCTCATCGCATCGTCGCTGCATGGGATCGCATGTCGGGACGTGTAACTTCGCTTCCAGTCTGGCAGGATGCAAGCGGTTTCCTCCTCCTCTACCGCGTGCTCAACCAGTCGCATCTCTACCTGGACTTCTGGGTCCCTTAAGAAACCTTTGGCGTACGCTGCGTTCCAGCGAGAGGCTCCTGCATCCTATTGAGTGCGAACCTTACGAGCGAGCTGTTACCATCAGTGAAGGGATCCTGAGCCCTGGGGTCCAGCGCTGCCAATGCCACGGCCATCCTGATCATTCCACGTCACCTTGTTCAAAGTAGACCGCATCCTCCTTTCAAAGTAGAACGCATCCTCCCATCTATGAATGCCCCATTGCTCCTTCCCTGCTTGCGCTTAACCATCCGCTCAACGCCTCATGCTCCACAAACTGATCCAATCTATGCTCTTCCTTTCCCGCACACTTTCAACTACGTCACATCCTCCGTCATGGCATGCTGTCTCCTGCGTTCTTGGCCCACCGAAACATCTTCAACTACTTCGCTCCTCCTATGCTTTCTCGCTCTCTGCCCTCCCTCCCCTCCAACCTCCACATCTCCATGCATGTTTTTTCGAAAATACAAATGAAGCTCGCCAAACTTGGCTTCACCTCCGACGGGCGTCCCGCCGGGCCGCCGCCCGGGCGGGCCCGGCCCGGCCCTCTGAGTCAATGATGCGGCTCCTTACTACCGTACAGTACGGCAACGGTCATCACGTGCCCCTCCCGTGCCAGGAGTCGTCCAGGCCATCAAGCCTCCGGTTGATCTTGCAGTTGAACTTGGGCGAGTCAGCGTTACTAGTACTAGCTGGCAGTCACTCTCCTACTAGGCTAGCCTGAGAATGCTTCAAGTTACGTGGAAGTCAACTTGACAGTCACCGGTTGACCCTCATCCCCACTGCACACCCTGTACCCCACCTCTCCCCAGCCCCCGGTTTCCACCCTGTTTCCAACCCCACCCTGGAAGTTGTCTTCCAACAATGGTGAGTATCTTTACTACGGCGACGAGGTCTGTACTAAAGTTGCCAGTAGTTGGTCAACATTTTTTATTGATCGAACTGCTCCTCCCTTTCTCCTTAACCGGCCGAGTCCTGAGGTCCTCCCACGCTCACCTTCTCCACCTCCTCCTTTTCCTCCTCCATATAAGCTGTATATGTCCTCCTTCTCCGCTGTGCTCATGCTTAGGCCTCCCTCCCTCCTCCTCCTCCTCGCTTGCATCGCCTCGGCTACTCACGCATACAGAGCTCCCTGTGCCGCTCGACTTGGAAGTCGTCAGGCACTGAGCCCCTCCTCCTGCCCCTCCAGACGTCGCCCCTCCCCTCATCTCACCTCCCCAGCGCTCGCTGATTACATCGCCGCAAGTAAGGGCTACTACAAGCGTCTTCAGATCCACGACCAGTCGACCAAGAACAAGCTCAAGGGCTTCGCCATCCTCGCCCACAGGCTCGAAGAGAAGCACGGCGAGGAGATCAAGCAGGAGGTCGCCAACTTCCTCGTCGAGCAGATGCTCGTCAACCTCGACTCTCCCGTCTCCGCTACCCTCACCAAGCTCTCCCACTCTGTTGTATACACAACCGGGAGGGAGAACTCGCCATGCGCGGAGACGTCTGCGCGCTAGACGGTGCTGGGAGGGGCTTCAAGCGCTGGATTGCTGCCACAGAGGTTGAAAGGGCGGAAACCAGACGGTCTTGAAGTTCGTAGGATTGAGCAAGTAGACGATCATTGAATTCCTGAGATTGCTCAAATTGACGATCCAGCTTGCGTTCAAGTGCTTCTTGACGTTGCTGGGCATCTGCGTTCTGTTGCAGGAGTAAAGCAAAAAGTTGACGAAGAGATGGTTCCTTGTCGTTGGTGGCAGGAGAATTTCGACCTGAAGACATCGCAGGGATGGGCTCTGCGGCAGGGGCATTCCGACCCGAAGACATCGCAGGGATGGTGGGAACGGATTTTGCCCGGAGAAAAAG